ACTAATCATGATTTTTTAATAAGTAATTACTATCCAAATTGGTGTATATGATGACCCACAATTGTGATTTCTAGTGACCCAAAGTGGTGTTTCTAGTGACCCAAAGTGGTGTTTCTAGTGACCCAAAGTGGTGTTTCTAGTGACCCAAAGTGGTGTTTCTAGTGACCCAAAGTGGTGTTTCTAGTGACTCAAAGTGGTGTTTCTAGTGACCCAAAGTGGTGTTTCTAGTGACCCAAAGTGGTGTTTCTAGTGACCCAAAGTGGTGTTTCTAGTGACCCAAAGTGGAGTTTCTAGTGACCCAAAGTGGTGTTTCTAGTGACCCAAAGTGGTGTTTCTAGTGACCCAAAGTGGAGTTTCTAGTGACCCAAAGTGGTGTTTCTAGTGACCCAAAGTGGTGTTTCTAGTGACCCAAAGTGGTGTTTCTAGTGACCCAAAGTGGTGTTTCTAGTGACCCAAAGTGGTGTTTCTAGTGACCCATTTTGACAACTATGATGCCAGCTCATTAGAGCTGACTCCAAAATTATGCAACCAAGATAACTTGGCATCAACCAAGATACCTATTCATCAACCAAGATAACTTCATCAACCAAAATAACTTACATCAACCATGATAACTTGTCATCAACCAAGATAACTGCTCATCAACCAAGATAGCTTTACATCAACCAAGATAACTTACATCATTCAAAATAACTTCACATCAACCAAGATAACTTCACATCAACTTAGATAACTTTACATCAACCAAGATAACTTCACATCAACCAAGATAACTTCATCAACCAAAATAACTTTACATCAACCAAGATAACTTACATCAACCAAGATAACTTACATCAACCAAGATAACTTTACATCAACCAAGATAACTTACATCAACCAAGATAACTTACATCAACCAAGATAACTTTACATCAACCAAGATAATTTGTCATCAACCAAGATAACTTCTCATCAACTAAGATAACTTACATCAACCAAGATAACTTACATCAACCAAGATAACTTACATCAACCAAGATAACTTTACCTCAACCAAGATATCTTTACCTCAACCAAGATATCTTTAAATCAACCAAGCTAACTTTACATCAACCAAGATATCTTTACATCAACCAAGATAACTTACATCAACCAAGATAACTTACATCAACCAAGATAACTTTACATCAACCAAGATAACTTTACATCAACCTAGATAACTTTACATCAACCAAGATAACTTAACCTCAACCAAGATATCTTTACATCAACCAAGATAACTTTACCTCAACCAAGATATCTTTAAATCAACCAAGATAACTTTACATCAACCAAGATAACTTAACCTCAACCAAGATATCTTTACATCAACCAAGATAACTTTACCTCAACCAAGATATCTTTAAATCAACCAAGATAACTTTACATCAACCAAGATATCTTTAAATCAACCAAGATAACTTTACATCAACCAAGATAACTTTACATCAACCAAGATGACTTCACATCAACCAAGATAACTTTACCTCAACCAAGATATCTTTAAATCAACCAAGATAACTTTACATCAACCAAGATAACTTTACATCAACCAAGATGACTTCTCTATTAAACGCAAAGTTAGGAAAACTGTGTTGTCCTCATCATATTTCTCCCATTTCTCAGTTTTCACGCCAATTTAACATGCTAAATTTGACATTTAACACCAATTTCTTGATACAATAAGCAAACATTTAACTCCATTACGTTCTCACGTTAAGCTTCCATTTAACACAGCCACTCAGACTAAGCCTACACTTAACATCTGATGGGTCCCAGCAGCACTCCAGTCTTTTTAAAACTATGCGTGTTACAGCACTAAGATAACATATATATCTTTCCTTCAGGCATAAAGGATAACATTTCCTACCGGTACCTTTTCCATACTAGGATAACCTTGTGTATTTATTTCGCCCACATAGGATAATAGTTGTATTTATTTGCACACATAAGATAACAGTTGTACTATTATCTAGCATTAGATAACACATCATATCTTATACATAGGTAATCGCTATCTTGAATTCTCGCATGAAAATTATAATTAGACTTGAATCACGAATGATAGTTAAACCGTTACTTCAGTCACGTTAAGATATCAGGTACCCCCCTCCCCCTCCCCCTCACTAAGCAAGCAAGTTAAGCTTACTCAAGCAAGTTATCTTACTTTACACACTTAAAATAAATCCTCATCTCATACTAAAAGTAAGTAATCATCTTTTCCCACACTCAATACATTAATCCTCGCATATTAATCCTCCCTACCAAATTAAGTAGTAATCCCCAGTTTCAAGACAATTACAATTCCCACAAAGTGAGGCAATTCAGTGGGAATGGAATCAGATATCCCTGGATACACCCCTGTGGGCTAGGGAGGGGGGGATATCCCAGGGACCGTTTCTATCCTCTTTCTACTGTCCACAAATCCAGAATGGCCGTGATGAGGGTTCGAGCCTACGTCCGGGATCATCCCAGACGCGCCTTTGTGGATTTGTTCATATGATGCATCAGGCTATTGTGATTTCTGTGTGTAATTATCATAGTCTCTTGCAGCGAAATGATAAGCAGGTACATTCCCTTTCAACCTTAAAATTAAATAAAGTCCTTCTTTACTGGAAGTGCATAGTTTTTTCTAACTCATAATTTATTTACTATTCTCTGGGTATATTATCATACTAGTTTATAGCACTTTCTCCTGATATTGCAGATCTTAGTCTGTCTCATATCCCAAGAGACAGTCTTGGGATATAATCTGTCTCATATCTCATATGTTCCAAGTGCTATATAGTCATACTGGCTTAGTGTTTTCTCCCCGTAATTTCTAACCAATTTGCTATCCTCTTGCCCTCGTGAAAAGAATAATTAGTTATTCTTCCCCGGAAACTAAAATTAAGCTATCGTCCCTTTTTATTTAAACTGTTATCGTCCCTCTCGAAGATAAAATTAGGAATTCATCACTAATTTCATGCTAAAATAAATAAATTCCCTCACGCTATGTTAAAATCAATAATTATTCTATGTTCCGTTACACAGTAAAATTACACGTTTGTTTCTGTCCACAACTCGCGAATATAGCAAATATCCTAAATTAATTCCCCCACCTTCTCCTTGTCACTAAAATCCCAACTAACTCTCGCTTTAGAGTTACTCAGTAAGTTTTTGCTACTCAGTAAGTAGCAAAAGTAGTAAGTTTTCAAAATACCCTCCCTATTACAACTAAGCGTTCAGAGTAACCCTCCCTATTACAATTAAGCGTTCAGAGTAACCCTCCCTATTACAACTAAGCGTTCAGAGTAACCCTCCCTATTACAATTAAGCGTTCAGAGTAACCCTCCCTATTACAACTAAGCGTTCAGAGTAACCCTCCCTATTACAAGTAAGCGTTCAGAGTAACCCTCCCTTTTACAAGTAAGCGTTCAGAGTAACCTTCCCTATTACAATTAAGCGTTCAGAGTAACCCTCTCTTACTACTCACTAAGCTTTCAAATGACCCTCCCTTTTCCCCTTCACATTGACTGCAAATTGCCCTGTACACTAACACCTGTGGTTGGTCTCCCCTCAGAGCTGCCGGAACAGGGCCCAACGATCCACGGAGGAAGGAGCCATTACAGAGTAGGGGATGTTGCTCGACTCAACTGCACCTCTTCAAAGAGTAAACCTGCAGCTCAACTCACATGGTTCATCAACGAAGAGAAGGTGAGAGAGAGAGAGAGAGAGAGAGAGAGAGAGAGAGAGAGAGAGAGAGAGAGAGAGAGAGAGAGAGAGAGAGAGAGAGAGAGAGAGAGACGTATATCGCAAACGTTATCGCTTTCACTCGCGATGTGTCTTATGATTAAGATATCGTTGGTGGAACCATTTGAAGCTATCGTTTACTGGATCGTTGGGAGGTGTCGTTAGTCCTTATCTCCTACAACTGTATCGTTCCATTTCCACAACTATCGTGCGTATCACTGTAGTTTCAATTTGCATCGTGATTATTTTACTTTGTACTTAAATATTACGGTTTCTCTAAGATAGCGTGTTGTCTGATCACTGTGGTAATCTAAATTTTACATTCAGCAGGACAGTAATTTATACTCTTTCAAATGGTCGTAACTTAAAAACTATTTGCATTTTGTCAATATTTGCATTTACATTCGAGAATTTACATCAGCGTTTACGGATACCTAATGTAGTCTTTCGTTTTGGTGTGCAGAGAAGTGTAAATGATTTACTCTATGGTTGACGTGAGCGGCATTTACAGCTTCACCACTGGAAAAATGTTATCCTCCGTACACCTTACTTGAAAATGATTTACAACGTGAGCAATTTCACATGTTAATTATATCCGGGTTGTGAAGACCAGTGATCCCCTTTTGATTTACATCTTGTTTCACATGTTTTACATCTCACCTCCGAAATGGCGAGACCTGTAAATGATTTACACTTCGGCGACTCAGGGATCGCCCAATGGTGTCTGGTGCTCTGGTGTCAATAATACACCCGTGATACAGGAAGTCTGATAACGGAAGAGTCAGGAAAGATGAGATAAATGTATCTTCTCTGTACAAATCAGCAATATGGTTTGGAAAAGCATGTGTGTGTGTGTGTGTGTGTGTGTGTGTGTGTGTGTGTGTGTGTGTGTGTGTGTGTGTGTGTGTGTGTGTGTGTGTGTGTGTATACAGTTTTCCTGTTACGGAAATGATGGAGACTTAGGCAACCAATCTCCAAGACTCCTCAGGCTATAGTACATCTGGTCTAATGGTCTTGGAGAATTAGCTAGCCCGTCTACAGGGCTTCACAAGTTCTTAATGCAGACCCCTGACAGGTTAAGACCTAACTACCTTCTCCTCAGGAGCTCCTCAGGCTTGTATACAAGTCCCGGGAGACCTAACTAACCTGTTTACAAGACCGACTCAGCTTCATAATTATTATCCGATAATATTATGCATTATATATATTGCACACATACTCTACTGTCTAAAAATGAGGATGAGTTGAGTAAGTTGAGCCACACCTCGTAGCCTGGTGGATAGCGCGCAGGACTCGTAATTCTGTGGCGCGGGTTCGATTCCCGCACGAGGCAGAAACAAATGGGCAAAGTTTCTTTCACCCTGAATGCCCCTGTTACCTAGCAGTAAATAGGTACCTGGGTGTTAGTCAGCTGTCACGGGCTGCTTCCTGGGGGTGGAGGCCTGGTCAAGGACCGGGCCGCGGGGACACTAAAGCCCCGAAATCAACTCAAGATAACCTCAAGATAACTCAAGATAACACTACTCCACCACACACGGGGAAGGAACCGGGCCGGTCTGGTCTAGACTAGATCATCGGCTGATAAATATGATTGGGTGCGTCTTATTCAGAGTCGTGAGTTTATCCCTCGGGGTTAACCACTCAGCGAAAGTGATGCAAATAATAAATTTTCGTTCCTCAGTTCTGGGAGTTGCAGTAATTAAATGTGGGTAGTGGAGTCCGTAGAGTATACATCCCTACTCTGAATTATTCCTCCATATCTGTACCCCACCACTCAAGTAACATACACACCCGTCACTAGGAAAAGTAATGAGAATTCTGCTATTTTTAAAGCTGTCACGCTTGAAACAATTTCCTCTTCCATCAAAAATCGAATATCCCGCGAGCACTGTTGCTTCACCGACGGCTCAGTCCAATCGTCAACAGGACAGACTGCAGCAGCCAGCAAGTTTTACAGTAAAAATACTTGCACACAAACTATCAGTGTCGGGTTGAACAACTGGCTGACCTCTACACATACAGAACTAGCCACACTACAGTTAGCTATCCAAACATTAAAAGACACAGGAGGAGGAATAATATTTTGTGATTCGAAGTCTTTTACTGCAAGATCGACAGCATGACCCTCATAATTACAATCCTAAATAATCTACTCACTGCACAGAATAAAGGGCTTAGAGTCTCTTTTGTATGGATACCATCTCAAATATAACCCATCATAATGACACAGACATTGCAGGCTAATAAGCGTGTAACAAAGATGACGCTGAATTAGACCTGGGTGTCCCCATCTCTTTTGTCAAGACTATATTGTTCCAAACACTCAGATCTGAGAGGAGACAAATCACTGACTCCCCACAGACCTGAAAACACTGGTATTAAAGTCTGTGATTTGTTTAGATTAGAAACGTATGTCTATTGTCAGCACAAAACGTCGACCAGACTGTGCGATACAGTGGTTGCCAGGATCAGGTTGGGTTACAGTTACCTGTGGCAGGTGGCTGCAGGTGACGGGTCTCCTAATCCTGAGCACTTCAGGTGCAAACTCTGTGAGCAGGAACTGCGGCATGATCTCCCACACTACATCACCGAATGTCCAGTTATTAGACCTTTCAGACCAGTTGGCATGAGGTACCTGGAGCTTTGCAATCACTTTTTTAACTCTCTGTTCATGATGATATCCTCACAATACACCCAGACTTTACCAGTGCAGACTACTAATCACATGACTAACCATCCTGTGTGATGGAGATTTTTAGCATCACGTAGCTAGTGTTTGACACACTCTGTACTCCCCTTCATGTAGTCTAGGGTCATGTAGTCAATAAAAATACAATCCATTAATTATTTATTAACAAAGTAATAAAACACGCTTTACTTTCATAATAAAAGATTACAAAAAAACGCTTTTTATTTGGACAAGTCCACAAGCAAATAATGTCAACTATTTTTGTTTGCTAAGAACAGAAGGTAAAACAAACAAAGTCAACTATTACCCCACGGGAGAACTGCCAAAGTTAGCGGAGAAAACATGAAAGAGTAACATAGGGAAATTTAATTGAATAAGAGGGTGGATACGAGACAGGAGAGGGAAGGGAAATAGAGAGAGAGAGAGAGAGAGAGAGAGAGAGAGAGAGAGAGAGAGAGAGAGAGAGAGAGAGAGAGAGAGAGAGAGAGAGAGAGAGAGAGAGAGAGAATAAAGGATACAAGTGGATGGAATAGATGCAGAGCAAAGTGAGAAAGGGCTATTGAGTGGGAAGCGAAGATAGGAAAAGAGGGAAGAAAAAGGAAAAGTGAATAATGAGACTAATACAGTGTGTAGATAAGAAAGTGAAGAGAGAGAGGAGCAGAACTGGATAAGGAATAAAAATGACTTATTTTATTCGCAGCATTTCATATATTATTGTGCTATTGTTTGTATCTAAATTCCAGGCACCAATTTAGGAAATGGGTACATGATTTGGTAACTGCTGGAATTGGTCAATTTTATGAAATGCAGATTTAAATTGAATTAATTTATTATCATATATTTTTAGGGATTTTGGAACTAGCATAAGTTTAAATTTAGGATAAATGCTAGATTTAGGAATGAATTTCTATAAGTATATTAATGAATAATTTCCGGGAACTTAATAACCACCATCACAGGATGGCTGATCAGCCGGGCTGTCATTCATACGTCATTTAAAAACCTGTTTGACCAGACCACCAACCATATGGTCAAAGTTGTGATCGAGGAAATTGATCCTCGGAAGCGCCTCAAGGTATAGGTAGAATTTTGAGTAAAAAGATAAAAGATTATGGAAGTTGACACCCAACCCATCCGTCTGAATATAAGGAAAATGAAGACGTTTCGATCGATCTCGGACCATTATCAAAGTCGTGTAATATTGATAATCCAGGACGGAATTTTTTTTCAAATTTTCAATCACGTTATTGGATTTCAAGATTAACTGTACAAATGGAGGAGTGAGAGGTAGAGGTATATAATATGTGCATTTACACAGTTACACATGTGCACACACAGTCACACATGTTTACATACACCACACACACACACACACACAAAGCGTTATATGACAAAGAGTGCTGGGAAGACGGGACACCACGAGCGTAGCTCTCATCCTGTAACTAAACTTAGGTAATTACACTTAGGTAATTACACACACACACACACACACACACACACACACACACACAGTCACACATGTATACACACACCACACACACACCTAGAGTCACACATGCTCACACACACACAGTCACACATGCTCACACACACACAGAGTCACACATGCTCACACACACACAGTCACACATACGCACACACACAGAGTCACATATGCGCGCGCATCTGTGCCTACACATATGGGTAGAAATGCGAATCGTTACTCTTAATTGGATATTGTGTTTTCTCTGAATTCACAGTTAATTGTGAGCAAGACGTCTAATAGCTATTTGAAATTAGTCTAATGAAGAGCCGGTTTCTCTTGACGTTTCTCGACGATTTAGCGAAATTAAAAATTTTAAGAAAATGTAAAATATTAAAATGCTAAAAAAAAAATCCGTGAAAACTCGTTACTAATTTTTGCTTCTTCATTTAATCTGTTTTCGTAATTCATGCTTCTCATCTCTGGGTCCAATCCCTTGACATTTCGGTGGCATTTGTCCACTTTAGTATTGTGTTAGACAAGATATAATCTTCATGCTAAAGCTTCATATTCTGAAATATAGTCTGATATACGTTGTATTCAAAGCTATATTCGACATCTTTAAACAGTTTCTAGAGGGATTTCTTATGTCGGAATTATATCACATACAGCTGACGTAGTTTGGTTTATAAGTGCCTTAAGAGAAAGGTTTGGCGTTTCTCTTTGTCCAATTTCAGGGGTGTGTACTCTATAGAGTAGTAATTGCAAGTGGTTTCAAGAGTTCAACTACAGCAAATGTAAAGTAATAGAAATGATAGAAAGTCGACATTCTCTCGTTTGCTGGAGGACCTTAGTTGAATCCAAGACTGGATTGGGTTGACTGGACAGCACTCCCCCCACAGTCTCCACACCTGCCCTCCCCCCACAGTCTCCACACCTGCCCTCCCCCCACAGTCACCACACACCTGCTCTTAATTAAGAACTCACAATACTCTCACTAGGACATTTAACTAAATAATTATCAGCAAATACAACAAATGATTGTGTTCCTTCAGTAACGCACTCTTATAGAATATCTATACACAAAATACATACATCAAGGGGAAGGAAACGATGAAACTATTAGGAGAAAGAGCCAAGCCGTTACGACTATATAGCACTTGGAAGGGGTCAGGATAAGGATTTGGGATGGGACGGAGGGAAAGGAATGGTGGTCAACCACTTGTGGACGGTCTCGGGGGATTGAACGCCGACCTGCATGAAGCGAGACCGTCGCTCTACCGTCCAGCCCAAGTGGTTCGGCATACATACATCAAATAAATTAATATTCGTTAGCCGTCTTTAGTCTCTTGTGTTTCATGACCTGAGAATCATCATCAAATTATCCATTATATCAAAATCACATGAATCCCGTTTTCTGTTTGCATGCAGACAGTTGGAAGCTTGTAAGATTGAAAGAGTACCACTCATTCAGACGCTAAATGTTTCCATACCACCCATGGAATTGGGTAGGAATGACAGCTTAGTACCTCGAACCTCCGAACACACTTTGCCAATTAACCACAGGAAGGTCTGAATACACAAAGGTACACCACACTCCACACTGCTTGCAAGTATCTTGCAAGCAGTGCAAACCATGCTTTCCAAGCATCCGCACCAGAGTCTACACACACACACACACATACACACAGAATGTCAATAACTCCCACACACACACACACACACACACACACACACACACACACACACACACACACACACACACACACACACACACACACACACATACACACACGCGCGCGCTTCCCAAACAGGTAAATTATCAAGTTACAAGTTACTCAAGAATACAAATTGTTATAACCATCAACGTTCTCTCCCTACAAGCAAAATGGGCTCAACAATTTCTGTTTCTTACTCTTTTATCTCGTGAGATGTTCCCGTTCCCCTTTCTCACCTATCTAAGGGCTCATCAACAATACAAAGGTTGATGAAGGGCACTGGACCTTCTCGTTACAGTTCGATGATAAAGGTTGCAGTGCCTTTACGACCCCCAAACTCAGCAACAACAAACTTATATACCACACTATTAAGGTCCAAAATCCATCTATGCAACATTATAGAAAAGGCCAAAACACATGGAAGAAACACTCGACAAATATACCCTCAACATCTCCTCAGAATACAAAACAAAAGCCACCACCACTGTACAAAAGCCACCACCACTGTACAAAAGCCACCACCACTGTACAAAAGCCACCACCACTGAACAAAAGCCACCACCACTGTACAAAAGCCACCACCACTGTACAAAAGCCACCACCACTGAACAAAAGCCACCACCACTGTACAAAGCCACCACCACTGTACAAAAGCCACCACCACTGAACAAAAGCCACCACCACTGTACAAAAGCCACCACCACTGTACAAAAGCCACCACCACTGTACAAAAGCCACCACCACTGAACAAAAGCCACCACCACTGTACAAAAGCCACCACCACTGTACAAAAGCCACCACCACTGTACAAAAGCCACCACCACTGAACAAAAGCCACCACCACTGTACAAAAGCCACCACCACTGAACAAAAGCCACCACCACTGTACAAAAGCCACCACCACTGTACGAAAGCCACCACCACTGTACAAAACAAAAGCCACCACCACTGTACAAAAGCCACCACCACTGTACAAAACAAAAGCCACCACCACTGTACAAAAGCCACCACCACTGTACAAAACAAAAGCCACCACCACTGTACGAAAGCCACCACCACTGTACAAAACAAAAGCCACCACCACTGTACAAAAGCCACCACCACTGTACAAAACAAAAGCCACCACCACTGTACAAAAGCCACCACCATTGAACAAAACAAAAGCCTCAACATTCCGCATAACTCAATATCCACAAATGTTCGTCCAGGTGTCTAGGGACGTGATTACTTGAGCAGTAAAGTTGACGTTTCCATAACCATTGCGTTTACTAAGCATCACCGTCTATCATCAACTCTGTATTCAACTGCGTTTTTTCCGTGTCTCAATATCTATCTATATTGAGCCTCCCCCCCTTCCCCAAGTCGTAATGGCTTGGCGCTTTATCTTGATATGTCCATTCTATTCTCTGTGTCTCTCTATATCTTGTTTAACGAGATCTGTGTTTAACGACATTTCTCCCTATTCCTTTGGTAGGTTTCGTCACCCCATCTGGTGGAGTATTATCCATGGGTTCACCACGATGGATTGGAGAGCAGGAGGCTGGGTTTATCCTTCACGGTGAGTGCCTGAGGCAAGCAACAGTCGTGTTGGTCAATCTTATATTTGATATAAATATATATGTATGTATATACTTTGGATATATGTCATTTGTGATTTGTCTCGTTATAATTACTGTGTTGGTGGGAATTGATTTTTTATTATTGGCAAAAATATAATAGGAATTGATTTGAAAATAAAAAATGGAGAGTAATGGAAAATTATATTGATGGAAGAGTTAGAAGTTTGCTCAAGTTGACTAAACTTGGTCTACGTTCGACCATCAAACGACCAGATAAAAGACGACCAGATAGATCACAAGCTGTTTACCTCAGACGAACATACGACCACAGACAACCCGAATACCATATTCTGTGTACCGGTCGACCAGTCGACAGTCCCTGGTCAACGAGTCGACAGTCCCTGATCAACGAGTCGACACAGGCCCTTGTCGACGCGTCGACAGTCCCTGGTCAAGCCAGAACACGCTTCACCGTCCCTTGAGCCATAGCCCCGAGCGAGACATCATGCATCACACACAAGGACCTCAACCACTGGCTCCGGCAACAGGTCTTTTTTTCCACCGAGCGAGAGAGAGATCAATCCCGTGTAGCGAGATTTTGTAATGTTAAATCCTTTCCAAACGCGGCATTAAAAAGCGGCCACTTGGTGACATTACAGAATCTCGCTACAGAATATATGTATATATATACATGAGTTGATCTGTACTTTATTCGACATCACATTGAAGGGTAAGTTTGATAAATTAGCGAGTAAAAAATGTGTAAAATATTATTTAGTTTGTAAATGAGTTGTTTTTTGTGCAGGTTGACAAGTCGCACTTCCTCAAGGGCGACCTGGTGCTCAAGTGTCAAGCTACAGTGGCAGCCATCTACACAGCCATTAAGGAGGAGGACGCAATCGTCTCCGAGGGCGACCCTCTCATACTCGAGCAGCGAGAACAGCGCATTCTCGGTAAGTGATGGAGAGGGGATGGTGGTAGAGGGTGACCGGTAGTGATGGAGGCTGAACACAAGTGTTCAACGATGAACACAAGTGTTCAACTCCACAATTCCTGAATAACAAACCTGAGAGCAGGTCAACTCAACACACCTTCATACCAGGCCACAACACCTCCACAAAAGCCACTAGTCAACCCAAACTTTAATCGTTGCCCAAGAACTTTTTTTTTCAGGATAAAGATTCAAGGGAGAACCATCTTCAATACAAAAAAATAACAATAGCTTATGTATTATATATATATATATATATATATATATATATATATATATATATATATATATATATATATATATATATATATATATATATATATATATATATATATATATATATATATATATTGAAGCAATTACGAAATTTTCCATGGTGCATGACAATGGGTTGACTTTACCGACCCATTCACCCATTTCCACAGTCCCATCACGTACTGACCCATCTATATAAAAAAAAAATAAACAGCCGCAATAGCATTACACGACCCGGGCCCCATTGTGTACCACTGTGTACCACTGTGTACCACTGTGTACCACTGTGTGCCACTGTGTACCACTGTGTACCACTGTGTACCACTGTGTACCACAAGCAGGTACACTCTACACCACACTGTACTACCAGCAAGTACACCTTCTCTAAGGTTTCACTTCTTTTCTTTCCACACTTAAAGGAACTTTCGTACTTTATCCTGTAAATTGATCTCTCTCTCTCTCTCTCTCACTCTCTCTCTCTCTCTCTCTCTCTGTCTCTCTCTCTCTGTCTGACTCCTAATTCCTCTGTCACGACCTTTCTCCCAGCTTGTGTTTATCTCCCTCAATTAGCTCACTTTAGGCACCCCTCAAACCGACCCTCTGGATTCCCCTTCGAATTTCCCCTCATTCAATTGAAATATCCCCAGTGAACTTAAGTCGTCCCCTCGCCTCCCTCTCACCGATGCTTTCCCCTTTCCCTGAGTCAGGCTGCTCTCTCTCTCTCTCTCTCTCTCTCTCTCTCTCTCTCTCTCTCTCTCTCTCTCTCTCTCTCTCTCTCTCTCTCTCTCTCTCTCTCTCTCTCTCTCTCTCTCTCTCTCTCTTTCTTCTTCTCCTCCTTCTGTTCCTCCCAAAGCTTTCACTCTTGAACTCCACTGACACAGCTATTTCATTCACTTTCATGCAGTTCTTTCTCTGTTTTTAGCCAAACTTCATCTGAAAAAACTATATCAGATAGAAGGCGATAGAAAGTATACAAATATATGACCGATAAAAAACGATAGAGAATATAGCAACCGCTATATAGCAGGTAGAGAACACTAGAGAACATTAGAGAACATTAGAAAGTATCTGTATCCACACCATCACCTATTCTCTGGTGAGATGTTATTTATCAACGGTAAAGTGTTCTCCATATCTGGTTTCCAATGTTTTCTATCGTTATCTGCTTTTTTATGTTGAACGTTTTCTTGCTTTTTTCGTTTTTCTCTCTTTTGTAATAAATGGGACTCACAGAATTAGCATAAAATTCCTGTATGGATTTCATATATAAAAGTCTTTTATTTTCCTATTTTTTTTTACCTCTTTCTTGACATAATTTTCTCCTTTCTCTCCAATTTTTCACTCATATTTATCCCATTTTCTCTTTAATTTTGTTAATTTTTACTTTATTATTCATTTTTTTATTTTAATTTTATAATTTCATGTTTCTATTTCTCGTGTTCAGTTATTCTCTCTACTTGCTTTCACTTTTCCTTCATTGCTTTTCCTCTTTCCTTTTCCTTGCTTGGGTTTTTAATCATCAGTTTCTTTCTCCATTACCTTCCATCGTTTACCTATTATCTTTTTTCCTATTACTCCACTTTCTCTTCAGTTTTTTGGGGTAACTTTAACGTTTTATAATTGTATCTTTATTTTCAGTTTTCCATTTTCATAGAGTCTTGTTCGTCTCTCCTCATTTCCCCCTATTCTACCCTCATATTCCTCGTCATCTGCCCTCATTTCCCCTTTCCTTTGCCCTCATTTCTCCTTCATTAGCTCTTATTTTCCCCTTCCTCTGTCTTTATTTCTCATTCAGCAGTCATCATTTTCCTCTTATTCTCCCCTAGTTAGTCAGTTCATTCTATCTTCCTGGGACAAAATAATGCTTTGCTCTCTCATAAATATTATTATCACCTCCATTTCACGAGTTGATTCAATTGGAGTATCCCCTTACAGTTCCCCTCGTTGGTGTGTGTCTCTCCTTCTTCTCCTCCCCTTGTCTTGCCTTCGTCATAAGCGTCCAGTTCTCTCTCTCTCTCTCCCCTCTTTTCTCCTTGTCCATCGTCTCTTTCTCTCTCTCTCACTTCCTGCCTATGTAGTACTTCCACCAATTCCTTCCTCCTCCCTTCTCTCTCTCTCTCTCTCTCTCTCTCTCTCTCTCTCTCTCTCTCTCTCTCTCTCTCTCTCTCTCTCTCTCTCTTTTATCATTTACTTCAAACTCTTCGGCTGATTCTTCCCACTTGGATAAATGTCGTCGTTTCTACTAACTGAATTATGTCTTTTCCATTTCAACCTTTTCACACACACACTAATTTATTGTAAGTCAATAAATTCTGTCTCGGTCGAATATAGGATTATTTACCACACACACACACACACACACACACACACACACACACACACACACACACACACACACACACACACACACACACACACACACACACACACACACACACACACACACACACACACACACACACACACACACACCACAAGCACACACACCCACACCGTGGAGTCCCCACAGGGCTCTGTACTCGGACCTATCCTGTGTCTGATATAAGTAAATGATCTTCCAGGAGGTATAAACTCATTTCTCTCAATGTTTGCTGACGAGGCCAAAATTATGAGAAGGATTAAGACAGAAGAGGACAGCATGAGGCTTCAAGATGACCTGGACAAACTGAAGGAATGGTCCAACAAATGAACGTGAGAGTTTAACCCGAGCAAATGTAAATTAATGAAAATAGGTGTAGGCAGCAGGAGGCCAGATACAAGGTATCATTTGGGGGAGATGAACTTCTTCAAGAATCAGAGAGTGAGAAAGATCTTTGGGCTGATATCACACCAGACCTGTTTCCTGAAGCCCACATCAAGAGGATATCATCAGCGACATAT